GGAGCGGGTTGTGGTTTTTTTTTTTTTTTTTGAGGACGGAGTTCGGAAAAAAAGGCAAAGTGGAGAAAAACATGGAAAAAAGAGGCGAGGGAAGGAGGGGGCAGGGGGATGCGGGATCTCGGGGGCAGCGGGATGCTCGGGGTGCCGCTGAGGGGGCTTTTCCCCTTTTCCCGGCGGAGTGGTCCCTGCGTGGGGCGGGAAGCGGCTCCCGTGGTGTCCCCAGCAAGGATCGAAGCCCGCGGACGTGGCTGGGACCCCCGGCTCTGCTCCCCGGGGACCTCCATTTAAGGCTGGGGGCGCAGGGATGGGGGTTTTGGGGTCCTCGCTGCCGTCCTCGGCTCTCGGTGGATTTCGGGTCGCTACGTCTGCCGGGTGACGCTGCCACCTCCTGGGCACTGTCCCCCATCTCCTGTCCCTTGGAGGAGGCTGAGAAGATGGGGTGACCTTGGTGAGGACCCCCCCATCCCACCCCACCATCTGCTCCTTGAGCCACCCCTGGCAGGGGAAACTGAGGCAGGTGGGATGCCCAGCCCTTGGTGGCACCCCAAGACCACCTTCCAGCTACTGAAGGACATGGGGCAGCAGAGGCCACCGCTACGTGGTGGCATCCACGACCGTCTCCTCCTCGCCGGTGGAAGGACCGAGCTCCCCGGGGCTGCCCAGGAGGCTCCGAAGCTGAAGCCAGAAGAAGGGTCGCCTCCCGGGCTCGTGGGGCCACTCCAGGTAGGTCTTGGAGCCCAACATCTTCCGGAGCCGGGCGAAACGCCGGGGCAAACCCCGAGCATCGATGGGTTCCTTCACCACCAAGATGACGTCCTCGCTGCCCAGCCCCACGGCGCGCTGGTGGGCGAAGTAGAGCTCGTAGTTGCACCACTCGCTGTCGACGAAGCTGCGGGAGAGGACGAAGATGACCTTGGCGCTCCGCTCGATGTTCTCCACGATGTTATCGATGATCCAACGGCCCGGTGTGAAGTCCCGCTCGTGGATGCAGAGCCGGTAAGGCGGCGTGTTGCTCTCCAGCCGGTGCAGAAGCTCCTGGCGAACCCAGTCGGCGTCGGCGCGGCTGTAGGAGATGAAGGCGTGGTAGGGGCATTGCCGCGCGGT